ATTCGATTTCTATTCACAAGCTTGCAATTCGGTTTCGATTTCGATTCTGTTTCGATTCAATATCGATTATTTTGGATATCAGTTACAATAAATGGCAAATTTTCTCAAGGGAATCAAATCCCTTAACTAATGCTGTAAACTATGGGAGTCTAGTTGTAGGCTTCATTAGCCTAATATGAAGGTAATAATGAACTGTTTTGTAGCTATTCAAACACTTAAATTACACTTTTATTTATTTGTATAATAAGAAGATTATATGAAATATAAACATTTAAATGGTGGCTGTCATAAAAACTTGCCAGATTTATTCAAATATGCATTAAGTAATGAAGAACATTAAGATTATAATGCATATGTAATATGGTGTATATATTTAGCAAAATGCTATTTTTTTATGTGGGTTTTCTGAGGTAAATATGACGATACATTGATTACAAGCTGTTTAACTGACGTCTTTCCACGGTTGAAACGCTGATTGAGCGAATCAATGCGACATGATACGGATTTCGATAAGTTGTACTCTATCTTTTAACACACTTTCAGATGCTCATTCATGTTTATTTGGCGCTGTAACTGGTATTATTAACCCGGAAGAGAGATCAGCGCTGCTGCTTCTCCAGAGCGATCTCACGCCACAGCGCCAAAACGCTATTTATGTTTTTGAATTTCTAAAGAAAATGGACGTAATTTAAAAATTGAGACTTTGTTTCATATCAATAGAAACAAACAACAAAGATTATTGTGAGTTTTTGGATGCGCGCAGCCGCGATACAATGATCCATTCATTCAAATGAAACAGGATGACTAATCGATTCTTGAGGTTTAAGAATCGATATCGGTTCATAAAAATGAGAATCGATTAATAACGAGAAATCGATATTTATTACCCAGCCGTAGCGTACATGTTCCGCATCCACAAAATGGTCTCAGGCCATAAATATTGGTTTTAATGGGAAAACTAAATAAAAAGTAAATAACCAACTCTCTCAATGTGAAAATTTTATTTTGACATGGCATAAAACTTAAATATCTAAGTGAGAGATATAAAACTGAGATATTTAAGTGAGAGAATTGTTTTTTTAACACAGTTTTAATAAATAGAACATAATTGTTTTGATCATGTCACTTTCATATATGCATGCAGAAAGTAGAATATATATCTGTGTGTGTGTTTTGTACTACAATATAAGTTGTTGTAATCTGAAGAGTTGCGTTGTCTTGATCGGTCTTGTGAAAAACACTCCTAATTCATCAGTCGCTGTTCTTTAGTTTGAATCGCTGCACTGTACAATATTCTTGCTGTTTGGCATCAGATCTATACAGCTGCTTTACTCCATTCATTATTCAGTGTGAGCATGTCGAGCGAGCCACTGGCCAGAGCCCTTTAAAGAGCACGATTATGAAGATTATTTTAATCGTAGTTCACTTTGTATGTTTAAACATGAAGTATCCTCACTTTAACCACGAAACAAACTGCAAATAAATGTGCAGGTGCGGTCTGCCTCTGGAGGCTTTACACACTACAGGCTGTTCCCCTACATCACTTGAACTGTAGCTGTCGTTGTTGTGGTCATGCTCCTCTGTTGCAATGCTTCATTTGTCTTTACTGTAATCTTAAACAGATTCTCAATCTGACTGGTTCCCAGTCAATTTTCGTCCTCTAGCTGTTTAAATGATAGATGGCAAAATCCAACAAAATCCAAATTCATCTAAAGGCTCACAGATGCACAACCACAAGTGTACACACACATACACACACACACACACACACACACACTTCTGGTTGGCTGTGGGGACTCTCCATAACATAATGGTTTTATTGTATAGACTGTATTCTGTCCTCTTACACTAACCCGACTCCTAAACCTGCCCATCACAGGGAACATTCTGCTTTTTTACATTTTCCAAAAAAAAAAAAAAACTAACTATTTATACATGTTTATGATTGTTTTCCTCGTGGCGACCAAAAAATGTCCCCATAAGGACAGGATTTTAGATATTGCCATATTTGTGGGGATATTTTGTCCTCATAATGTATAGTTAACCTGACCCACACACACACACACATATGCACCACATGTCAAAAGTTTGGGATAATTACGCTTTTTTAAGTCCCTTACACTCCTCAAGGCATGCATTTATTTGATAAAAAAACAGTGAAATATTATTACAATTTAAAAAGATTATTTTCTATGTGAATATATTGTAAAATGCAATTTATTTTTGTGATCAAAGCTGTATTTTCAGCATCATTACTCCAGTCTTCAGTGTCACATGATCCCTCAGAAATCACTCTGATATCATGATTTGCTGCTCAGTTATTATCAATTAATATTAGTGCCCAGTTATCAATAATGGTTCTTATAGTTATCGGTGCTTAAATGTTACTTTATATATTTGTGGACTAAAAACATCATATTTTTGGGGGTTTTTTTAACCAATTTTCAATTTCTTTCTTTTTAATAAAGCTCTAAATTATAATATATTTATTAAAAAATGGGCAAGAAATGTTATCAGTAGTTTGTAGACTAAAACTAAAATATTTTTTATATATATAGTAGGGGTGGTTAATCTGTCTGATTTCCCGATTCGATTCAATTACGATTATTGAAGTCCCGATTCGATTACAGTCGATTTTCGATTATTAACGATTCTCGATTACCGATTATTGATTTTCCATTTCACAACAGTAAACGAAAATACACTAGATCAACATATGATTATATTAGCAGCAGCAACATTTTGGTATTAATTGCACTTTTTATTTGTTTGATATTCATTGAAAATATAATGATGGTTAGTGAGGACATGCAAACATGCTTGTTATCTACTACTTAGGCAACTCATTATCTTTACATTTATTAACTTTACATTTTTTTCAAAAGCAATTTTGCTGCATTATAATGCAAATGCACCTGGTTCTATTAATTGACAGTATTAAAATGTATTTTGTGATTTCCTTCAATTGAAAATATATTTGAAGCAAGTTTGGGGGACTTGAAGGGCACCCGATTCAGAGAATCACCTAGAAATTCAAAAGAACAGCATTTATCTGAAATAGAAAGCTTTTGTAACATTAAACAATACCGTTCAAATGTTTGGAGTCGGTAAGAATTTTTATTTAATTTTTTGGGCAAAAGAAAAAAGAAATCTATACTTTTATTCATCAAGGATAAATTAAGTTCATCAAAAGTTAAAGTACAAGACATTTATAATGGTACAAATCGATTATCTGAATCTTTTGTGTGTGACTATAAATAATTTGCTTTAAAGGTACAAATTAATGACCCATGAAGAATTAATGCACAATATATTTTATTAACATTACAAAGAACGACCAGGAAAATAAATGTGTGCTTGAACTAGGAGCATAATTGTAGTAAATAAATAATATAACGACTGGTGCAGCCGAGTGTTTTTCCTCCTCTGGCTGGAAAGGTGTCATATGGCTTATCATATTTGTCGTGTTTCCGTCGTTGGTTTTATTCCACAAAGCGTACAACTAGTGCGGCTCTTGTCCAGCTCCTTTCCCCCTTCAACTTCAGAAGCCAAAATATTTCCACACGTCAGCTTTTAACCTAACAAGGAAAATGTTTGGTTCTCGCGTGCCATCTCATCTCTGTTATGTGCACGCCACAGACGGTCCGGCCACTGCACTTCCGCGCTTCAGAGTTCCGTCTTTCGCGTTCCGTCAATATTACGTTATTATAAATACATATAAAAAAATTTTTTTTTAAATCGATTTTTTGACATTTGTGAATCGATTCAGGATCGTCCACGTCCGCATCGCGATGCATCGAGAATCGATTTTTTTCCCCACCCCTAATATATATATATATCATAGGTTCTGCCTCTTTCTTTCTATCAGTCTGGGTCTTGAAAGGGGATCGTACTCGATATTTCCTCTGTCACACTCTTCAACTTAATCTTGTAATGAAGTGTCAAAGGTTGAGGGATGGGTCATGGATTGTAACGTCAGCTGTATATTACAGAAGGTGCGGTGCGTTAGCAGTGAATCTGTTATCATCCTGACCTGCACCTTCACTCTCTGGCCTTCATGCAGAGAAATAGATGAACACTGACGAGGAAACGCACACTCGCCGCAGACTGCACCCGCTTGCAGTTTCTCTCTCTTGCTCATCCTCGTTTTCTCTCTCCGTCAGCACTTTTTCTGTGTTCCCTGCAAAGTTTGTCACTAACCGCATCTCACTATCAATACATCTCATTTAAAAACAATGAATTCCCTTTAATCTGGTTCATGGTGTCGTTGCAGTCTTGCTGTACACTCGAGTCACAATCTCTCTGCTTCCATGTTTTACACTGTTAGAAAAGTGTTGCTGTGCAGACCAGAAACACACTCTATGCTTTATCAACACATTGTTCAGTTCAGTTCGGTAACAGTTCGACGGCTGTTAACAAGAGGTAAAAACGATATAAATACTGTTCGTTTTCTCACACAAACCGCTCGTTTCGTGTCTTAGGCCATCAATGTGTACTTACATTCACGAGTCATTAAATCATGTTTAATTTGGACTTCTCTGTGCATGCTCTTTGAGGTGGTGACCATAGACCTCCATTATATGACTGACCGACAAGAACGGTTTGACCTAAAAATATCAAAATTGAAAATACTGTGAAAAACAAAGACACCTACATCTTGGATGCCCTTGAGGTAAGATAAAACGTACCAAAAATTAATTTCAAAGTGAACTATCCCTTTAAGGAAATGAAAATAGCAAAGCCATTCATTCACTCGACAGTAGTTGACTTAAGAAAACAGGAGAAAACGGGGCATAGAAGACATTTCTGTGCCCTTTATAGTAGTGTGTGTGTGCATTGTATGATTATCAACCTCATTCGATTTTGTTTACACCTTTGCATTCATGTAAGTTGTTTCAGTTTACATTGAGAATTGAGTTTAGCTCCACGAAGTCAGAATGACCGTGTTGAATAATAATATATAGATATTTAATTCTCTCTCTCTTTTTCTGCCTGTTTAGGAATCTTGGTAAATCTGGATTGAGAGTCTCATGCCTCGGTCTGGGTGAGTGTTGCATTATATCACAGAAGATATTTCCACATGCTGCACTATCAGTAGACTCGGTTTGTGCTCTGTTCGGTTTAACAGTTCATTTATCATGACACCACGCTGACTTCTCTAGCAATTTCTCGCTTTCACACACACTCATACATACACACACACACACACAATCTGGCTATTGATGTCTTGGATAGGACTGGGACTTGAACAGTGGGATATATGAAAGCAATTACAAAAGCTGAACTTCAGTAACCGGAGTGTTTCAGTCAGTATCGGTACCTCAGAGACGACGAAAAGCAGAGTCAGCTCTTAGAGAGAAGCAGGCCACAGCTACAGGGGCATATGTGTGTGTGTGTCTTTAAAGTGGATGCGTGTTACTAAATATAAAATTATCCAGGAAGATAAATCGCTCTGAATGCGAGGCTAAGTAGATTTGTTGGCATGCAGATTTTACAAAAAAATATATGTAACCTGTCCCACAGAAAGGTCGGAACAGATACATTGAAAATATTCATTGAATGAATCAGTGAAAAAATCATTTTGGTGAACAGATTCATGAGAAACAATTGTTTTTTTTTGTTGATGAATTATTTTTTTATTAAATTGGTGGAGTAAATTAATCACTGACTTATAACGAATCAGTGAGTCACTCAACGAATCAGTGCGTCACTCAACGAATCAGTGCGTCACTCAACGAATCAGTGAGTCACTCAACGAATCAGTGAGTCACTCAACGAATCAGTGAGTAACTCAACGAGTGCGTCACTCAACGAATCGGTGAGTCACTCAAAGAATCGGTGTCACTGAAAGAATCGGTGCGTCACTGAAAGAATCAGTGCGTGACACAAAGAATCAGTGCATCACTCAACGAATCAGTGCGTCACTCGACGAATCAGTGCGCCGCTCAACGAATCAGTGAGTCGCTCGACGAATCAGTGAGTCACTCGACGAATCAGTGCTTCACTCAACGAATCAGTAAGTCACTCAACGAATCAGTGTGTCACTCAACGAATCAGTGCGTCACGCAATGAATCAGTGCGTCACTCAAAGAATCAGTGAGTCACTCAACGAATCAGTGCGTCACTCAACGAATCAGTGAGTCACTCAACGAATCAGTGCGTCACTCAAAGAATCAGTGAGTCACTCAACGAATCAGTGCGTCACTCAACGAATCAGTGAGTCACGTAACGAATCAGTGAGTCACTCAACTAATCAGTGAGCAAATCTGTGAGTCATGTAGAAGAACCAACTCAACTCAAGCAAAGTAAAATAAAACATGACCCAGACCATAATAAATGTACTAGCAGTTAAAAAAAAAAAAACTGCACACATTTTGTGGATTTTTGCTGAATATGATTCATTCCTATACCTAAAAGAGAGAGAGAGAGAGAGATTATCCTACAGCTCATAAAACCATTCGGCCCGGTCTAAAATATAAACCTCTATAATGGGCTAATGGGAATCAGGGTAAGACAAATATTTTGGAAGAAGGATTGACATATTTACTATATTGAAAAAAAAATACATAGTGTGCCTTTAATGAAACCTGTACCTTTATGAAATTATCAGAATAATAGATTCCTATGTTTTAAAAAGAAACTCTGTTGGGTCTGATGTAACACATCTGTGTCCTGAAGCAAACCAGCAGAAACACTCAATCTTTTTAAGAAATCCACTGAAGGGTAACAATGAAACTATTCAGTTCTTCCATAATTGCGGTCCTATTTCGTTTAATTTGTTCATTGAGATGACTGACAGAAAAGAGCTCAATTCAAATGTGAGCAGTGGAAGCATGCATATTGTATGAGACTGAGAACAGCACAGGTGTCTCAGTGCTAAAATGTGCTAACGTGTGTGTTATGAAGCTCACGTCTGTATACAACAGAACACACACCAGACAGGTCGACGGGAGAGTGTGCGTGTCCGCCTCCACAACAAGTCAAGATCTTTTATCCAACTCTGATTTCTAAAATCAAACACCAGAGAGTGAACGAACATCTGACTCTTTCGCGGAGAAGGAACAGAACGAGTTAAATATAGAAAGAGGCAGGTGAAGTGACTGTGTGGGTTTGACTCACCTTCAACCAGACTTATATAAACATTACATGTTCACAGTGCATCTTTCAGGGTAAGTTTGAGAGTTGACTAAAAGTGAATGATTTGTTAGTTTGTCACACTTCCGCTTTACCATTGACTAGTTGTCGTAAGCCAAAAGAAATCATCCCGGGGTGAATAACTGAAGATGATAGTTGGAGTTGGTAGCGATTTTTGTGTGAGCGTCGGCCCAGCAAGCCGTCTCATGTAAAGGTCAGCTCCTGCCAGCTGGCGATCTCCCATAATGCCAGCAGTGCAGAACGCGAGTGCGCTACGCCAATGTTTAGGCAGCGCTCGCGCTCAGAGACAGATCCTGCCAAACCGCATTAGAGAAAGCAGGAGTGCACCGACATCTCCACGACACTGCAGAGCAGGTCAAGGCCAGATATGTGTTATTAGAAACAAACACGTTAAATAGACGCTCTTTAGTCATTTCTCGCGAGAGACGTGATTTATTCCCAATGGATTGAAAGCTTCGGTAGTCTTTTATAAGCCCTGGAAAGGCTTTGGGCAGGAATACACACACCAGTGATTCAGATGCGTGTATTTCAGCAGTGTGTAACGCATTCACTCTAAATAGTCACTTTGGTGGGTTGAGTGCAATACATGCATTTTTAAGGCCATTGCAATTTGCGCACGTTAAAAAATAAATACCTCATGTTATGTCAATCACTGCTTGCACACAAAAAAAAATCAAATCGGGTTTGATTTTCTGCGTTTTTCGCATCTGTCGCGAACAGTTTGAATGGTGTTCAAATTTTTTTTTTACATTTCAGAGCCACCGAATCACGAATACGCAAAAATGCATTCGAAATTTGTCGGACTCTGTGTGCAATGGCCTTTAGTCTTTTAAAAAGGCATCTGAAACAAACTTGCAAAGTAGAGTTGTCAAAATATATATAATTTTTTATATATATATATATATATTTTTTTTTTACATATCAATACTGAAATATCGGAAATGACTTGATACTCATTTTTACGTTGAATAGATACACAAAACCATCTCTCTCTCTGACAGCGAGTGACACAAACCCGCCTCTCCTCACTCACTCGTTTCATTTGCTCCGGATGAATAATGTTGCTGTTACAGAGCTTGAATTTCGCCGTGGGATCGCACGTATTGTGCATAATTTTACTCAGTCCCACATATTTTGCAGCACATAAAGCACCACAGTTCTAAATTAAGTTAGTTTTCGCTGCTGTATTGATGTAAACGCAGTCAGTTGTGTTTTAAGTGAATGTAAACAGTTGAGAAAGAAAATGCATGTGTAAAGGCCATTGCACACTGAGTCCGAAATTTTCGTATGCGTTTTTTCGTATTTGGGATTCGGTGGCTCTGAATTGTCAAAACACCATTCAAACTGCTTCCTACAGATGCGAAAAACGCAGAAAATCGAACCCAATTCGATTTTTTTTTTTCATGACGGACGAACGTTTCGGAGGCAGTGTGCAAGCGTGATTGACATAACGTGAGGTCGTATTTATTTTTTAACGTGCGAAAATTTCGGACTCAGTGTGCAAGGGCCTTAACAGTATAATGGATCCATCCGTCAGCTCTAAAGGCCCTTGCACACCGAGTCCGAAATTTTCGTATGCGTTTTTTCGTATATTCGTGATTCGGTGGCTCTGAATTGTCAAAACGCCATTCAAACTGCTCGCTATGGAAGCGGAAAACACAGAAAATCGAACCCGATTTGATTTTTTTTTCATGACGGACGAACGTTTCGGAGGCAGTGTGCAAGCGTGATTGACATAACGTGAGGTCGTATTTATTTTTTAACGTGTGCGAAAATTTCAGACACGAATTTCAGACCCTTGCACACCGAGTCCGAAATTTTCGTATGCGTTTTTCCGTATTTGTGATTCGGTGGCTCTGAATTGTCAAAATACCATTTAAACTGCTTCCTACAGATGCGAAAAACGCATAAAATCGAACCTGATTAGATTTTTTTTTAATAACGGAGGCAGCGTGCAAGCGTGATTGACATAACATGAGGTTGTATTTCTTTTTTAACGTGCGAAAATTTCGAACGCAAATTTCGGACTCGGTGTGCAAGGGCCTTTAAAGTGACAGCAGCCTAATATATCTGCTGCCAAATTATGAGATAATGTAAAAAAATATCTGTATGGCTTTTTTTCCTCATGGTATAGATGTCAAAATTGTGACCAGTGACAATGCTGAGTGGCTAGTAACTTTCGGAAAAGCACTAGCCACAGTGGCTGGAGAGCAAAACAAGTTAATGTCAATCACTGCGATCCAACTTGTAAATAGCGTCCAAGTTCTTGTAGAGTTTTCTTGAACCACGTGTACCACCTGAGATTCATTTAGGCATTGATGAAGTTACCATAGAAAGCATAGTTATGAACATCAGTAGTTGTCATCACGTGTTGTCTTCAGGAATTACGATAGAAATAGTTCAATGATTCGGTGTTTCCTGAGACCGTCATGACTAGCTAGAGAATTTCTCTAATGATGGAGCAACTTCTGTCGCTGTACGGGAAACAGTCCTGCGAGTGTTTAGATATGTGGGATGTACTGGAGCTATACGTCTGTTTGAGCACCAAACGGATATCGGCAATTCTCTAATGTACTTCAATCACGGCTAATGAGAAGGGTGGAAATGAGAGCTAACAAGTTATCGAATTCCCATCTTTCTTTCAGCCTTTCTCTTTTACTTTTTATTCTTTTCTCAGGATATTTGTTACTTGTTGCCATCTGCTCATTGATTGAATCTGAGAGATTCTGCCAGCTGAATGTACAGTTGTAAAGCAAACTCAAGGTCTGCCTCTAATGCACACACACACACACACACACACACAAAGAAGACGCTTTTGATTATTTTCTGTGGCCTTTGGTTGATTTTCCCACACCCTGAGGAGCAATCCAACCCGCCTCGAAACGTCACTTTTCAGAGGCTCAGAAGCGTTTATTTCTGTAAAGACGTCAGAATTTCATCACTGTGAAAGTTGTGCTTTTGTAATCCCCTCCCTCGGGCTGAGGTTAAACAGACAGGCTTGAAGTGCAGTTCACTTGAAGTGAGTTTGATCCATCAGCTTGAAATGTTTTTGGGAATTGGGAGAAACTCCAGCAGAGGGTGCCATCTTCGCAAGCTCAAGCGATTTATCCATTTATTTTATTTTTTATTTTATTTTTTTTTTAGGAAAAGACACAGTGTACATTAATTAACATCCTTAAATGTAAATGTACCCAAATTAGCCAAATTCACACACGTTTCTGTTGAGCTTATGAATGCGATGGCCAATCAGAAGCAACCAACCAAAAACAGAAAACTTTAAATGTGTTTTGGCCTTTCATTTACACAAGAACAGCATTTCTGGGACCTGAAAACCCAAACTTTGCCAACAAAGTGCTAGTTTTTGAAAAACGCCTCATGTACGTTTATGTAGTTGCAAAATGCAAAATACTCAAATATTATAATATAATTCAAGCATGAACGCAACAATTTAACATAAAAAGTCAATACAGATTGAATGCATTGAATTAGGTAATTATAAAAACTGCCTTTACTAAGGTGAAACATGCATATTGCCTAACAGTTGCATATGCCATGCATATTAATGGAAAGTTCATTTCTGACTCTGGTTTGAAGGACCTTTCAAGAAAGTCTTCTTAAAATCGATCAAAGTGATTCTGCTCAGAGAGAAAATTAACATTTTAAAGCTGACCCATCCAGGGTCCTGGAGCAAATACTAATGCAGCTGGAGAATAAAGGAGAGAGGAAGGCCGTGCACACACTGCCCAGATCTACTGAACTGGTCAATTATAAATGCTGTGAGTTTGGTTTTAAGCTCAAGGATGTGAAAACCAACTGCAAAGGCAAGGTTTTCTATTCAAATGTGTTTGCACTCTGATAAATACGTGCAAAATGTGTTTACATGAGTGCATCTGACTCTCAGTCTCTGCTTGTGAGATGAGTTTGTGTGTGTGTGTGTGTGTGTGGAGGACTCTTATTGCTTTAAGCACTGTCAGTCCTACCCACAAGTGACATGCTTGCTTCACACATCATATGTGGGAGTTCATTTACTCCCTTGTTTTCACAGTTTGGCTCTTGCCATCAGCACAATGCCTGTATATCACTGACCCGCTGGCCTTCTGTCCTTCTTTAAATGACCTTGCCTCTTGTAACAGTGTAAACGAAGGCCACTTATGTATATTAAACTAGTGATAATGAAAGTTCTGATTAAGTGACTGTAGGGTGGTTTTATTCTTGATAAGTGGAAGTAATTTAATAATTTGTATCCAATGAGAAATCACTTTTACTTTGAGTTTAGACTTCTGTAGAGACCAAACAATTTGTTTTAAACTAAGATTAAAGGTATTGGATGCATTTGTTATCGGCCCAATGAAAAAATTTGGTTACAATTATAATATGAACATTATATTTATGTGCTTGGGACATTTAATGGTAGGACATTTTTGTAATCAGGTTCTCAAAAATCATATAAAAATTTGGATTTACACTGTAAAAAAATATTGTTGGTTTAACTTAAAAAATTAAGCCTGGTTGTTCATTGAAATTGAAAAATTGAGTTAATACAATGAAGGAGATTGATTTAATAATTAGAAGCTCAAAATATTATGTTATCTGAACCACAGAAATGATCTAAGTTGATTTGACAGAAGAAAAAACGTTATGATGACACGTTATGATTTTTTTTTTTTTACAGTGTAGATATTTTAGGCCAAGCCTCCTCTGTATGGATAGAAAATGTTTATTTTACAAGACATGTTTTATTATGACGGGTTTCAAAAATAATGAATGAAATAATGATCGAAATTATGTCTCTTCTGTATTAGAAAAATAAATATATGAATTATAAATAACTAAAAGAAATACCTCCAAATTGAACAAAAATAGCGCTCACAAACTTACAAAAACGAACTAACAAAATATATATCTTTAGTTTTGTTCCTCTTTATCCTGTTTTTCTTCCTCATCCTAATTGATTACCCATCTATATTTTGCTGTAGAGCTGATCTTTCCCAGCAGTTGTTTTGAAAACCAGGACATTTTCATCACTTTATAACGACAGGACAGGACGTGAAAACAGGACATGTCCTGGGAAAATGGGAAAACAAAGCAAATGCCGTCAGAATATAGCAAACAAGTCATGATGCACACATGATCATTGTATGCTGCTTCTTCATACTCTCTTTAATTGTGTAGGAAAGGAACAGTTCAAGTTATTTCCTTTTGTGTTCGACGGAAGAAAGTAAGAGTCCAAATGCCATACATTACCACTAAGCTTTTTTAAACCCTCCAATTGGGACATCTAGAAATAGGAAATGTGGTTGTTGATGTCAGCAGCATTTTGTAGAAGAGTGTGATTTAAATATAGGACAGCTTGACTTGACCCCACTGCAACACCCCTCATTAAAACTCATGTAACAGCTCAGAGACGGAGATCATTTCTTAATATCCTAGCGCAAACTCTGGGTCTTCTCCACTGTATGACCATTACATCTGAGTCAGACGGCATCTGCTATTTATACGCTCCGTTAGCTGAGCTTGTAGCTTCTGTTCGGCCTGGAGTTTCTCTGAATCTGCCGATGTTCGAGTACAGTGAATCTTCTCCGCTGTTCAGCTTCATCCACCGCTGGAGCCAAAAACAGCAGTGACACCATAATTATTATTGATTTATTTTAGGGTTTGCAAAAATTAATTGCGATTCATCGCATCCAAAATAAAAGTCTGTGTTTATATAATATATTTGTGTGTGCTGTATATAATTATTTTGTATATATAAACACACACACATGGATGTATATATTTAAGAAAATGTGTTAATCATATATAAAATATTTATATTTATATAATATAGATTATGTATTTATTTATATATATACAGAATTTGAGCGCAAATAATTCTTAAATATATACATGCATGCATAGGTATTTATATTTACAAAATAATTATATACAGCACACACATATATATTATGTAAACACAGACTTTTATTTTGGATGCGGTTAATCGCAATTCATTTTTGCACAGCCCTAATTTATTTATTTATTTGAACATGTAAATAAAATTTTTAAAAAAATCAATCAAAGAAACTAATAATAAAAAAGAAAAACAAAACAAATAAACAACAAAGTAAAACTCCATACTTTCAAAAACGACACCAGACGATGAATAAGGGTCTTATCAAGCGAAACGTTCGCTCATTTAATAAATAAATAACAAAGTTTAAGTTTTATAAGCTCAAATAGTCGTCTTGCTGTTCTTCTAAATAATAATTGTATGATAAATCTTTTATTCTAGAATGAAATTTGCGAAAATAATGGTTCATATCACTCAATACACATATGGAAATGGAGGCGCCCTTATATGGGTTGTGCCCTAGTGGAAAAGTGTGGTACTGCGCCCAAAGCTCATTTTTTGCGATATCAACCTAAAATTTGAAACACAACTTGTTCAGATTTTTGGCTTTGATTTTGTTGCAGTTTTAAAGTCTCCCAGGTTTTGAAAATACATATTTATATAAAATATGAATAATACATTTTTTTACATTGTACATTTTCATAAGCTCAAACTTGTTTCTGTTTCACTTTCTTAATTTTATTTCACTTCTACAAAAATCTGCCAAATGTCTTCTTCAATCTTACGTCGATATACCAAAGCATTCTTGAATTACAACCATTTAAGTTCGAAATGTGCATTTCCATGTCTATTAAAAAAAAGGGGGGGGGGGGGTGACACTTAACAGGTTATGGAATAATCAAACTCATTAAATGAGAATTAAGTGCTTTTGCGATAAATATCACAATTCATCCTCAACATTTTCTTTTCCTTCACAGGCACTTGGGTGACATTTGGAGGGCAGATATCAGATGAGGTAAGTTCTGCACTGTAAAAAAATATTGTTGGTTTAACTTAAAGTAAGTAACCTGGTTGCCTTAAGTTGATTGAACTGGAAAAAGTGAGTTAATACAATGAAGGAGATTAATTTAATCATCAGAAACTCAAAATGATATGTTATCTGAACTAAATAAATTATTTAAGCTGATTTGACAAAAGAAAATAATGTTGTGATTACTACACTGTAAAAATATATTGTTGGTTTAACTTAAAAAAGTAAGTAACCTGGTTGCCTTAAAATTTTAAGTTCATTGAACTGGAAAAAGTGAGTTAACACAATGAAGGAGAATGATTTAATCATCAGAAACTCAAAATTATATGTTATCTGAACTAAATAAATTATTTAAGCTGATTTGACAAAAGAAAAAAATGTTGTGATTACTACACTGTAAAAATATATTGTTGGTTTAACTTAAAAAAGTAAGTAACCTGGGTTGCCTTAAAATTTTAAGTTGATTGAACTGGAAAAAGTGAGTTAATACAACGAAGGAGATTAATTTAATCATCAGAAACTCAAACTAATAAGTTATCTCAACTAAATAATTTATTATAAAGTTGATTTGACAAAAGAAAATATGTTGTGATAACACATTTTTTTACAGTGTGTTTACTTTACCGACACTTACCTGAAGCTATGAACGTTTTCCAATCAGACGAGAACAGCCTGCAGTCGGCAAACACACACATGATGCAAAACACCCTGACATTTTCTTCTAGAAGTTGTGTAAAACATACAAGCGCAGAGACAAAGATGTCACGGAAGGGACTGTCGCGTCAACCTAGAGGACAAGTGAGGATGATAATTTGTTTCTGAGGGCATTTAAGTTTATATAAACCATCCTTCTGCCTCAACGAAAGGGTTAAAATGTCCTCAGTCTCTGCGGCCTTTCTGTGCTGGTTGTCAAGAGCATGAAATGTTGGAATCGGTCCTAATCACACACACACACACACACACAGAGTTTTGGCCAGAGGAATGACTCAGCGTGCCGTCAGCTGAGTGAATCTGACTGGACCTCCAGCGCGGAGTGACAGGGCAGTTTGTTTCTCTGCCGTCGTAAGGGATTTGCTTTCTCTGAGGCATTGGGGTGTCGGAGGGCAACGTCTGAATCAGGACTTTATGTTAGCGCTTTGTGTGAGTAACACTCTCAGAGTGTGTGGAAGTAGGAGGCGGAGGATTAAAGGAAGTGTTAAGAGGCTTCTGTTAAAGAAACTGGGGTTGACGTTGTATGAAATGTGAGGCTACAGAGTGTGAAGTTGCTCTTCTCTCAGTTCCTCTGTTACTAGATCAATTTGATAACATCAAACTGGAAATATGACATGCCACTGACTACGTCAAATATGACATTCAACATGACGTTGTTGTGGCAGGAGTTTGAAAAGGTGAAATGTGGCTTGAAAGTCTAGAAAGCAATTCTTAGCATTTAGGTAGTAGTAGTTGAATTTTCTTTTTTAATTTGCGTATATTAATACATTTTATTGGTTCTCAGACACACAGCTGTGAGCATGTAAGATTTGCTGTATAAATAGAGATGAATCATGTCTCAGATCTAGGCAGGAGGAGGAGGGGTTCAGAGGAACTAGCTTACAGCAAACAATCAAACACACTCTTTAAATGTTGAGCAAGCGATCTCATTGGCTGCAGGATCAGCAGAGCCAATCAGCTTGTGCATGCGGTGATGATGTCAATGTTTGTAGATTTCATTAGCCTACGCCCTCTAGAGTTTCATAACTGACTTAGAAATTACTATATTTCAGATTAATTTTATTTTTTTTCCCCTATTATTCATATACCTAAAGCAGTGACTGAACTAGTTTTCTTTTCTTTTTCTTTTTTAGAATATATCATTTAGGTCGCCTGAACCCCAAAGAGCCTACTAAAAGCTTTTAGGAGGGGTCCCAATAACATAAACACAACATATAATATACAAACCAAAAACTCAATATACCATAGACACAAAACAGACAAAAACAACAGAAAACACAGACGATTTAGTTCACATAATTAATGAATATCACAACCCTTAAAAAAACAGCAATCCAAATCCCTTTACATTAGCGCTCTCAAATGTTATATTAACCCGTGCACTGACTCTCCTCTCTTTAATTCCCTTCCCTAATTTTTTTTCTCATTTTGTCTCATTTTTATGCTGATTCATTTATGTGATTTTGGCCGCATGAGAGACTCACTATAATTATACGCATATATTCACCTACACACACACTCTCACACTGCAGATCCACTGCACAACAAAACACACTGATCGAAATGAGACCGACAAGAACTTTCAAAATCATCTACAGGATTTCTTTAATTGCTTAAAATGAAACACTGTCGTACCTGAACGACTCCGACTGGCTCATGGTGACACACAAGTCTTCATAAAAGGTCAAATCTCTGGGATGATGGGCCTGGTCCTCATTTCATTTGAAATAGCCTGTAAGTGAATATGGATGGGAAAACAGTTATAGTACTTTTTCTATAAAGTGTATGAGGATCCTTTTGCAAGGGAAAATAATATTTTTTTTCTAAAAAAACATATTTTTCCATGAAATACCCATTTAAACTGTCAGGAAAAATAGGATATATTACAGTAAATGCTGTCTATATACATTATAATGAAAGAGACGTTTTATAAATGTAAAAAAAAAATAAGTTTTTAAAAAGATGTTTAATTGCATGAAACTTTTTGTAACATTTTATTTAATTTTAATTTTATTTTATCTACACTTTTTAAAACAAAATAATTTAGTCAAATGCAGAAATATATAGTATTTATATAATACAATATTGTGTTAACTATGTGTAAACATTACATAATTAATACAATATTTTATAGAGAAAATAAATAATTGTTATACACTTACTGTGATGGCTCTATCTCTAAGTGTGTGTGTTCTTTCTCTCTGTATGCGCTCTCTGTGTGTATGTCTGTCTCTTTCTGTACGTGTGTGTGTGTTCTAGGTGGCGGAGCAGCTGATGACTATAGCGTATGAGAGCGGGGTGAACCTCTTTGACACCGCAGAGGTGTACGCTGCTGGAAAGTTAGTATGACTCAACATCAACAAGATTACCCATAATTCACTTTACTCCATGAGTCATTATTAACATCTGTCTTTCACAGAGCTGAAGTCATACTGGGAAACATCATCAAGAAGAAAGGCTGGAGGTACGGTTGGGTTCATCTGTGTGTCAAGCACATCTGTGTGGACGTAATTCACGATAAAGGAGGAACAAATTATATTATTCTTAATTGCAATATATCACTATATGTTACTGTTTTTACTGTGTTTTGATAAATAAATGCAGCCTTTGTGAGTGTAAGAGACTGTAGTGTACATGAAAAGCACTAATGGGTGGCAACCAGTTTCTCTCTCTGTCTCGCTCGCTCTCTCTCTCATATCTCATCAGACTGATCTGTAGTGTTCAGATTTACTCTGTCCCACAACTAATTTTAATCTGACCCCTTTTATAAGCTTCAGAATCCATAACGACGATAGATGTCGTCGTCCCACCGCAGTGAACATGCACACACACACACACACACACACTGGTGTCTGGATATTCATAACCCCCACCCAAAAGTCATCAGCACATCTGGACTGATCTTATCTGTAAATGTTTAACCCTCAGGTGCTCTTCGTTTCGGAGTCAAACTTGTTATCTTCCCGGTCAAAAGTGACCGGACACCTAAAAATGAAATTTCCTCCATCCCAGTAAAACCGATGCAATTTATTTTTGTTCTATAATATTTATTCTTTGTAATTTAGTATTTTGAGACAATTTGATTGAATTTATTAATATTTATGCAATATTTATGGTCTATTTTTGCAAAAAAAACAAACAAACAAAAAACGGACGAATCACACTTCAACCACGTCATGAGTGTTGTCAAAAAGTGCAGGTAAAGAGATAAGCAAGCTGACATAATTATAAGGTAGCTTATAACTGTAAGGCAGTGTAGGGACTAATTATTATTTAATTTATCAGAACTTTAAAATATTTTGATGTTCCTCTGTTCCGTTGTGACCATAGAAACAAGTTTCTTTTTAAAACGCATTATCATATTATTTTAGTTAAAACTCATAACTATAAATAACTAATGTTAGGGAAATTTGTTAATATTTTGTTGCGCGTTTCTGAAATAATAATAATAATAATAATAATATCGGCCGATATATCGGATTTTAAAACCAACAAATATTTGTATCGGTATCGGCCTTCGAAATCCTTTTATCGGTCTGGCTCTGTTATCTTCGCGAGTCTGCTGTCAACAACAGGCCTAAACCAGCCATGGCACCAGCACAAAAACATAATTATTATCAATAAAATGTTGAAAATATTGAGATTGTCAATGTCAATGTATGGTATTAATTATGATTTCTTCAGGTCGGTCTTAAAAAGCCTCAAATGTGACTTTAAAAAGTGTGTAGGGCCCCTGAATGGGTGTGTTTACTGATTAATCAAATCTTCCCCTTGAGTGAAGGTTATTTATGTGCATATTTTAACTCGCTTTTCCCTCTCTCCTTTCCTTAAGGCGATCCAGTCTGGTTATCACCACAAAGCTCTACTGGGGTGGAAAGTGAGTAAACCGTCTTCACTCATAGTGCTTGTACAGTAATGACAACTTTTATTTCATAACTCGCACTGTTGCTCATTCTAAAGGGCAGCACACTTAACGCCGACATCCGTACATTCCCACATTTCATAAATGCAATTATAGACGTGAGTTCAGGGCAAGTGCTGACCCGGTGTTTTCTCAACGAGGAAGTGCAGCTGTGGAGCTCAATAAGACTAAAGAAAAGGCCTGTCCCATTTCCCCACAAATCCTCGCTCATGAATAATAATTAGCATTTAAATATGCCAGCGTTTTATATTGTTGAAAAGTGAACATTTGCAAAAAGTCCCAGTTTGGAAAGAGGAAAAATGTTTTGTATGTTGAACTGAACTCAAGTTTTTGATCTTTGCGTGTCTCCTTTCTTTGCCACAGAGCCGAGACCGAACGAGGCCTTTCTAGGAAACACATTATTGAAGGTGAAGTACACTTTCTCTTTCTTAAATCCTCTCGCTGTGTGATCACAGCTTGTGTGTGTGTGTGTGTGTGTGATGTGTTTGTCTCGTTGTGGGGTATTGATTGAGTGGTTTTGGTGTCGGTGTCGCTCTGCCTGGCAGAACTAACAGATAGCAGGACTAAAGTGGACACACACACACACACGATCAGTCACTGAACACACTTTGCACATAATCAAACCAAGAATGAATGCTTCTGACTCTTTCTTGACTGAATTTCATCTGACACAAACAGAAAAAACTGCCCTGAAAAACCAGTTATGATGTTGTTCATATAGTAGATGAATGTAGTGGAAATAATACACACCCTGGCCTAGATATTCAGGGTTACGTGGTGCATGAATGATTGGTTGTGTGTGCTGTTCTGCACTGGCCCTTATTTTTCTTCCATGCCAGCAAGTTTGGGGCCAGACACCTATTTTATAAACCTAGAGTTTAGGATACACTGCATTTGGTGTGAACACACCAGCCGTATAGTACATTTACATCATTGCATTTGCTTTAGTCATTGGTCTGGTAAGGCTGCAAATCTCTCACACACACACACACACACACACACACACACACACACACACACACACACACACACACACACACACACACACACACACACACACACACACACACACACACACACACACACACACACACACATGCAGGTTTTAATGTTTTATGGAGACATTGCATTGACATAATAATTCTCCATCCCCTGGCACTAAACTTACAGAAAACTTTCTACATTTTATATTAAAAAACACACTTAATATGATTTATAAGTGGTTTTCTTCATAGGAACCAAAATATGTCCACAGAAGGACAAGGATTTCGGATATATCCATCTTTGTGGGGACATTTTGACCCCGTAACGTACACACACACACATAAAGGTGGGCTGAGATACATTTTTGGCACATATACGTTTTGACACACAATCTGTTTCTCAGGATACACAGCTATTATTGTGTAAATCTGTATGTGGTCCTGTGAAATGAAGACAAGTGACATCACTTCCCCACAATTAATCAATTTATGTCAGTATGACAAGTTATTTAAAAACTGCACTTAAAATACAATTCATGCGATGCATACAACAACTTGAATACTCTTCTCCTGTGATGAACAAGTTTCATATATAAAACATGCAAAAAATTTACATTGAATTTTAATATATATATATATATGATAATGATTAAGATGCAATGAAAATGGCAAACTCAATTGAGGCGGATACATTTTTGATCCGATAAAAAGACTTAATCCGAAATTGCCAGAGATGTACTAGAAGAGAAAGTACTAGAAACCTGGACTTGAGTAAAAGTACAAGTGCTCTATCAAAAAAGTGACTTGAGTAGAAGTTGAAGTGCTCTTTAAGGGCCACACTTAGGTAGAAGTACTGAAGTATTTAACATTTTTTGTACTTAAGTAGTTTATTTTAAATTCACTACTTAAGTACTAAAAGTAAAAGTACAAGTATTGTGTCATGTAATTATTAAAGAAAGCAGTCAAAAGTTTGAACTAGCAATCAAATAACGCGCTTTGGCGGGATACAAATTTGCTTTGGCGGCCATTGCAGGAAAACCCCTGCATTAGTTGTCAATGTGTGTGTCAATCAATACCATTACCCTATATAACTGGCGAGCGATTTAGGCAGCATGAAAGCCAACTTGCAACGAATGATTCGTAAAATTTTTATAATTGTAACGAGTAACTAGCAGAACATTAAAAAAATATCGAAGTAAAAGTATTAAATTCATCGAAAATATCTACTGAAATAAAAGTAGAAGTATGAGAAAAAACAATACTCTAGTAGAGTACAGATACAGCATTTTAGTACTTAAGTAGTTCTACTTCGTTACTATACATCTCTGGAAATTGCGAATAAATCCCTTCGATGCACAACAAACTCACCCGCGGATTTGATTGGATAACTGGACTAACCAAGTGACCAATCACATCACAGCATCTCAATTGTTGTTTTGATCATTCTAAAAAAAACAAGGAACTCCCGCCAAAGTCATTTCCGATGTAGAAAAAAAGAGCCACAGCAGCAACTTCCATTTTAATGACAGATATTCACGCTAATTTCCCAGGAAGTGACGGATTTTTGTTCTCATGAACATATGTGATGCAAACGCTGCTTAATTAGCAAATTTTTTGCAGTATTGCAACTCAAATTAAAGACATAGACACAACGAGTGAATGAGCCCTGCGGCCCTGTACAGAAAGAGTCCCCCAGAATCACACACCCGGGGGTCCCTCGTCTGCGGCGCATGATCAAGTTTGTCCTGATGTTATGAAGGCTTGAAGTTCTTCATCGTATACGAGCCGTCAGCAAACTGTGATCTGTCATAGCATGCATCTTTTCAATCAGCACAAACCTGTCTCTCATGCACAGCTAATCTCGCTATATTGTTAGGTAAACACTACCAGACTTTTTGACAAGGAAGACAAACAAATGCTCAAACACACTCGCAATCTCCTCTTTCAGGTCTCAAGGGCTCTTTGCAGAGAATGCAGCTGGAATATGTAGATGTGGTCTTCGCCAACCGGCCCGACAGCAACACACCGATGGAGGGTGAGTTTGGCCAGATATACACTAATGTCCACAAGTTTGGGGTCCGTAAGTATAGCAAGCAGGGCGAGGCCGAGAGCCTTGGGAACGGAGCAAATCACATTTGCATATACGCATTTATTTGATAAAATACAGCAAATATTTAAAATAATAATAATGTAATCTATTGCTGGAATGGCAAATATCCGCATTTTTCAGTTTCACGACATGCCTTAAGAAACATTTCTGATTATTATCAATGTTGAAAATAGTTGTACTTCAGATTTTTGTGGAATCTGTGACACATTTTTCCCAAAATTCTTTAAAGGGATAGTTCACTTTGAAATTAATTAAACCTCAGGTGCTCTTTGTTTCGGAGTCACACTTGTTATCCTCCCGGTCAAAAGTGACCGGACACCTAAAAATGAAATTTCCCCCATCCCAGTAAAACCAATGCAATTTATTTTTGTTCTATAATATTTATTCTTTGTAATTTAGTATTTTGAGACAATATGATTGAATTTATTAATATTTATGCAATATTTATGGTCTATTTTTGCCATGGAAAAAAAAAAATATATATATATATATATATTTTTTTTTTCAAAAAATTATTAATGCGGTATTTTAGTTTAATATAGAGTCTAGGCCTTCAGAAAAAAAAACAAATTTGAAGAAAATTAGCACCATCTGGTTACAGTATAGAGAGAAAGCGTAGAATCATGGTGTAACCACTAGATGGCATGTACAGCTCTCTATAGAGAAGCATGTGAATTCCCCAGATGTTTATGAACACATTTTTTTTTTTTTTGGTGGATTTGAATATATAGTTGAAACAATCTCAGTAATGTTTTAAAATTTTATATTTTAAAAAAAAAATTGTGAATTTTTGTGTTTTTGTCAATTTCCCATTCATTTCCTATGGGGGTCATTTTTGACCAAAGACCACAAGTGTGACTATTTTTTTTTAAAAGTATTCATTTAAAAAAAATCTTGCTTACCCCAAACTTTTGAACAGTAGTGCATGAAAATCATTACATTAATCGACTTGTTCAGGGTACATCTTGAAGACTTTAGTAGACTTTGGTAGATTTGGTAATCCAAAAAAATGTACCTTATACCTTCACCAAAGCACGTTGGGATACTCTCGAGAAAAGTGCTGTGATGTTAGCAACGACAAAACTGCATCAAAAGCCAGAGATCTACAAAAGAATGAGTGTTGGTGTCCTGCAGGCACATCCATCTGAGGGCTAAGTGCTCTGAAATATGTATTCATGATAACAGGGTTATGATTAAGTGCAGTCCCCGGGGTGCCATTCTGAACAACCAGACCTCTTACTTCTACTCGAGGAACGCAATGCAGCCAGCAGGCCTCAAGGTGCAAGCCTGAAAATCTAATCTACTGTTTAATAATGTGCTTTTGGTACAAACCACGGAATAGCGAAGTCTCTTGAACAGTGTACAGAGAGAAACAACTGCACCAAGAGTGATCTGGAGGAAATGTGCATTAAATGAGATGTCGTGTGAGTGTTTCATTCTCAGAAGAGCAAAATGAAGAGAAGATAGTTGTTTCAGCCTCTTTGACCTTCATAAAGAAATGACTAGCTGATTTTCTCTTTCGTTTACCCATCGTATTATCTACTTACATATGCCAAAAGCATAAAGGAGAAGAGAGAAGAACAGAAACAGAAGCGAATGTACTGGACGTCATGCATACTTGACACACTTGTGCGTTCTTGCTTTACTGTGGCAGTAACAACAGTTCAATTGCACTAAAGAGAAAATTGACTGAAGAAGTGGAAGCCGCCTACAGCACCCCTAGTGATAAAGCGCGACGCATAGCTTACAACTGGGATGAGAATGCAGTGTCCTGTGAATTTAATTGAGCCTGCATAGCTAGAAGCATTTGCTTCACATACTTTCAGAAGGTTTCATGCCTTAGGGACAACCATGGAGGGATTCGAGACAATTTATGATCTCTCAGGATGGTGCTAATTAGGATAAAGCATGTTAAAATGCTAGGCAAGCTGTTTTTAGCCCTAGCAGATATCACAGAAATGGCTGCCCTGAGAAATCGCATCGTCTATGTCAGGGATCCAAACTGAAGGGCCACTGTCCTGCAACTAGCCTCAACACACCTGCCTGGACGTTTCTGGTCTGTAAGACCTTGATTAGCTGGTTAGGTGTGTTTAATTTGGGGATGGAATTAGGGATACATGATATATCGGTATCAGCCGATATATGTGTTCATTTTTTAATGTTATTGTCATCAGCCTTAAAAGAACAATTGTCCGATATATTAAAGCTTAGAGGTCGACCGATATGGTTTTTTTCACGCCGATGCCAATACCGATCTTTTGAAATCCGAGTCGGCCGATTAATGCTGCCGATTTATTTTGGCCGATATTTGCTTGGTTTTTAACCTCTATTTGAAAGATAAAATGTACAAGAAATGATAATTACTTAACAAAGACAAACTTTCTCGACAAAAACGTTTTATCCTCTCAAAAAATGTCCTGAAACATGTATTTTTGGTTTGTTTTGTTTGTTGATGGACAAATAGACATGACCTAATTATCACAAAAAAGGAGAAAAAAAACTTTAAATGATTTTATTTTTTATTTAAGATTTATTTTATTTTATTTAACTTCTAACAATAACGTATTTCACTAATAAATTGCTGTTGAACGACAAAAACAACCATCAGATGGGAAAATTATATTTTACAAAAACTTTAAATGCACCACAACGCACCATCCATCCGTCTGTTGTTCTTCAGACAAGGGCATCCCGCTGTTGGACCTTTTAGTCTACAGTGAAATACAGTCACACTTTACACTGTTTGGCCAGCGTTTTAGCCATGTTTAATCCAGCTACTAACTAACGGTCAGTGTTGTGCCTGAACGCGTTCATATTTAGGTCTGCTGCTCACTGGAAAATGACTCTAGCGGCAGCGTGCGTCAAACACGTGTTCCACGACAACACTAGGCTGCCCACAGATGCGCCTGCCTAATAATCGGCTTGATATACTTGGATATTGACCGATACCGATTATGTTAAAAAATGCCAAAAATCGACCGATTAATCGGTCTACCTCTAAAATGGATTATTTCCTTCAGCTGAGACACTTCAGATGCGCACTGTTCGCCATGATGGATTTGAACTGCTTTAAATATGATTGGAATCGCTTAAAAAAGCGCAACGTGCAGCGCATATCGGCTACTAAAAATTATAACGAGAACATTATAATTGTGTGCTTGGGACTTGACTTTTAATGGTGAGACATTTGTTTTCGTAATCAGGCTCCCAAAAATTTAATAAAAAAATTTGTATTTACTAGGGCTGTCAGTTTAACGCGTTATTAATGGCGTTAACGCAAACCCATTTTGACGGCGTTAATTTTTTTATTGTGCGATTAACGGTCTTTTTGTCCAAGCAAACTTAGTAGTTTTTTCACATGCTTTTGCAAGAGGACGCGGCATGCGTCCGATCCATTTTGGCGCCTCGCGCTCGTCATCCACTCAAAGCCGGCTCGCAAGCCCAAACGTGTGTTTGCGGCGTGCCTGTTGTTTTGTTTCCGGTCTAGATCCACTTGCGCTTTGGTCGAAGAAGCAACAAAACGTACATTTTGTGCCGCACACACTCGTTTCGGCTTGCGAGCCGGCCAAATAGTAACGTTACGTTTTGAGTGGATGACGAGCGCGAGACGCCGAAATGGATGCCCTGAAATTCTGAATGGAAAGTTTACTTTTAAAAAGTTGCCAAATTGTCCCATTGACAAGACCAAGTGATCTGTGTGTTTTGTCGTTGTGAACTGAGCGATCATCATCGCAGCACGTCCAGCCTGAAACACCACTTGATGATGGCCAAGCAAACACACACACACAGATGATGCGAATTCTCCACCCCCTCGTCAATATCAGGACCTCGTCAGTATTTCTCTCACCCTTTTATTGATAGACAGTGTTACGTTGTGTGAGAGATTATTTATATATGTTAATGTGAAATTGAGCACTATTCCAATGTTATTTTCAATAATAATAATAATAAAACAAGCCAATCCACTTTTCCATGTTGATAAGAGCATTAAAATGAGAAAAAAATAATGTAACAAAAAGAAATCAAAAGATATTTAGAATAGATAAAAATGTGCGATTAATCGCGAGTTAACTATGACATTAATGCGATTAATCGCGATTAAATATTTTAATCGTTTGACAGCACTAGTATTTGCATTTATCGGCCAATATACCGATTATCGGCGGTCGACCAAACTTTTCATGCCTAGTTGGACCCTAATTGTGCATGCGCAAGTTTGCACACCCCTGGTCTATGGGATCGTCTTGAACTCTGTAAATAGCCGGGTAAGCGTTAGCTTATTCAAAAAGTTGCAAAACTAGCAAAATGGTTTAAATCGCTTAGAGCACAGGAAATTCGAGATTTTTTTATTTCCATTTTTTCTAAGCTGTTGGGCGAGGGGATCAGTATGCCCCTCTGGTAATGCATGAGCTGCTCTGTTGTGTAGCATTTAGGGCTTAGTAACATTTCAAAGCTCTGCGCCAGATCCCAAGGTCACCCTGACTCGGCCAATACTTTCAGGCTTCTCTACTTTAACAAGCTTTTCAGCTCTGTCTAACACAGCCTGACGACCTGCTACTCTTGATTGATGTTCATTTAACTTCATTTTACTGTTTTTACACCATCCTCTAGCACAACAAAGTTGATTTGTTACAAACTCATTCATGATAAATGTCATTGTAGTTTAAAATTTATTTACATTTATTCATTTAGCTGATGCATTTATCCAAAGCGACTTACGATTGCTATATATGTCAGAGGAGCAACTAGGGGTTAAGCGTCTTGCTCAGGGACACATTGGTGTCTCGAACCCGGGTCTCTCATACCAAAGGCATGTGTCTTATCTAGTGCTGTAGCGGCGCGTCGATGACGTCGATGATTCGACGTCAAAATTGCGTCGACGTCATATTTTTGCGTCGACGCTTCTTTATTTATTTATTTTTTGCATGTTCCCGGGGGAACTCAGCTGATATTAATATTTAAACATTCTCTATGATGTTTGTAAAAAATATTTTAATAACACGGTTTTGGCGGTTGTAGAGTTATAATGATGGTGTTCAAATACATAACATTAGACTAACGTTAGCCAGCTTATAGTATCTTGATTTAGTATGCTAGTATTTATTTGAGATATTGTTTTTTTATTAATTGAGCAGCAGAAAAAAATATTCTTTATATTAGTCGTCCAATTAGTCATTAGATTAGTCGACTAATCGATAAAATAATCGTCCAACTAATCGTTTAGTTAATAATCGTTTACCCCAGCCCTAGTCTTATCCACTGTGCCATCACCACCCCCATCCATGCTTCTTATCTTTAAACATGGGCTAGTCACTGTCTCATAGACGTGTGCAGGCAGTTCGCTATGCAGTGGTTTTCTGCTGCATTGATGCGTGAAGTGTCCAGAGTTTGGTGCTCATCACTGTGTGCAGTGCATATTAAAGTTCCTCAGTGGCTCTGCAGTCCCCTGCTTTCTCTCTTTTCGTCAGCATGAAGGGTAAAAGCTGAAGGGAATATAAAGTTACACTGCACTTCAGCATTCTTTTATCACTCACGAGTTATTGAATTGAGTGAAACCACACAAAAGTACGTCAAGCTGATTCAGAGTGAATGGAAATATATTGCACCGTAGCAGATTATGTAACTGAATATAGCAGAAATGGTCTGAACGTAGAACTGCTTTAATTTACACCAAATCTCTGACATTTGTGACTAATGATCAGTGGAACTATTGTTTTATTTTAATAGCAGCCTAGTTGTTTTTACTTGTTCTGGCTTTTCAACACAAACTAAATTAAATTAAAGATCAAATTCTCATTACACCCTTGAAAAAGAGGGATACTTTAGCATACTTTAAAAAAAAGTACTTAAGAAAATAATGTATTTTAAAAGAAGTGGGAACTGAATACTGGTCCAATGTTTTTGGACGCTTAAAAGTTCACTTTAAAAAAAAACTTTTGCTGATAATTTACTCGCCCCCATGTCATCTAAGATGTCCATGTCTTTCTTTCTTCAGTCGAACAGAAATTAAGGTTTTTGATGAAAACATTCCAGCATTTTTCTCCATATAATGGACTTCAATGGGAACCAAATGGTTTAAGATCCAAAAGACAGTTTCAGTGCAAACTGCAAACTGTTCAAAGGGCTTTAAACGATTCCAGACGATGAATAAGGGTCTTATCAAGCGAAACGATCGGCCATTTAAAAAAAAATAACAAAGTTTAAGCTTTATAAGCTGAAACGGTCACATTGCTCTTTTCTGTGACGTACGATTGTGACTCGACTGTTCAAACTCGTTCATCAAAATGAACGAATCTTTTTTCTAATCATTTGATTCATTCAACGAACGAATTGACATCATTTTGATGGACGAGTTTGAACAGGAGAGTCACACAGAACAGAGCAAGGCGAGCATTTGAGCTTATAAAACTTAAACTTTGTTATTTATTTATTAAATGAGCGATCGTTTCGCGCTTGATAAGACCCTTATTCATCGTCTGGAATCGTTTAAAGCCCTATGAACAGTTTGCAGTTTGCACTGAAACTGTCTTTTGGATCTTGGACTGTTTGTTTCCCACTGAAGTCCATTATATGGACATTAATTAACTTTTAAGTGCTATTTTTATAAATAAAACTTGGTTACATTTTTAAATGCAAGTTTATTACTTTTATTGTATTTGAATTACCGACAAGCATTTATGATAAACTAAAATATACTTCAACATCATTTTTAGTGAACCTTGTATTTAATATATGTGTAAGGGTCTCATTCAGTTTTGGTTTAATTTCAGTTTCTTTTGCTAGTTGGTTTCATTAGTGACTGATTATGATTTAGTTCCTTCATTAACTGGTTTCCTCAGTCCTTTGTCCAGTATCATTTGTGTTTGTGTGATGATGTTATATGAGTTTAAAAGAGATTCCTAAAAGGCTTTGTTATTAAATTTCCTGTGTCATGTGATCATTGTTTTGAACGTGACATAATTACAAATGTTTTTAAATAAAGAAGCACTTTAGCACATATAAAATCTAGTACATTTAAATGTAAAATTGTTTAACAATGCCTTACTGTTTAGATTATAATCAAGTACTTTAGTATGTTAGCACATTTTTTTAAGTGCAACTAAACATAAGTATACTTATGTGGCCTTTTATTTCATTGATATATTATTTGTAAGTAGTTTTTTTTCTAAATATACATTTAAGATTTGCACTTTCAATACAATTACATTCACTCTTTTTCACAAGTGCGCTAACAGAATCTGTGCATGTTTGTCTCCACAGAGATTGTCAGAGCCATGACCTACGTGATAAACCAGGGCATGTCCATGTACTGGGGAACCTCGCGATGGACAGCGATGGAAATAATGGTAAATAACCGTTTTCTTAACCTCAGTTGTCATGAGAGACTTCATTATTTCAGCAGAACGAAGTGCATCACTTGCATGTCAGGACAGAATTGCTGATCATTGACTCTCTTTAGGCTTGAGTTCAGGAGCAAACCCTGTGTTTGCTGAAACAACAACCTCAGCTCTCCTAGTGTATATTGGCCACATCACATATTTTTAGCCCTTTGACTGAAGTCAGTGCTGCTGTATAATTGTAGTGTTGCACAAAGCAAGTTGGCACAAACTGAAATGTTGTAATTAAGCCCTGACATTATCAATTCATGGGCGATAAATGTAGGCTTGATCAGATTTTTTACAAAGAGGGCACACACTGATGACTTGTAATTTGTGTGACTGTGATAATACCATGTTCTAGTGTCACGCCAGATCTATCCCACGTAAACACACCCCCATGACTGGAACGTGTTTATAGCCTGAAATGATACCATCATTTATGTGATACAAGATATTGGAGAAAAACTAGTTCTCACACTTTTTACTACAGTAAATATTCCCCAATGTTAGTTTACGCTTCTCCCTTAAAGGAGTAGTTCACTTTAAAAAAAAAAAAAACGTTTGCTGATAATTTACTCACCTCCATGCCATCCAAGATCTCCATGTCTTTCTTTCTTCAGTCGAACAGAAATTAAGGAATTTTTAAGGAGCTTATAAATTAAGGATGGATTTTTCTCCATATAATGGACTTCATTGGGGACCAAACGGTTCAAGGTCCAAATGAGAGTTTCAGTGCAGCTTCAAAGGGCTTTAAATGATTGCAAACGATGAATAAGGGTCTTATCTAGCGAAATGATCGCTCATTTAAAAAATAAATAAAAAAGTTTACGTTTTTTAAGCTCAAATGCTCGCCTTGATCTGTTCTGTGATGAGCGTTTGTGTTCAAACTCAATGTAAACATCAAAATGAACAAAACATTTTTTTCGAGTCCTAGATAAGACCCTTATTCATCGTCTGGAATCGTTTAAAGCCCTTTGAAGCTGCACTGAAACTCTCATTTGGACCTTGAACTATTTGGTCCCCATTGAAGTCCATTATATGGAGAAAATCCTGGAATGTTTTCATCAAAAACCTTAATTTCTTTTCATCTGAAGAAAGAAAGACATGGACATCTTGGATGACATGGGGGTGAGTAAATTATCAGCAAAGTTTTTTTTTCTAAAGTGAACTACTCTTTTAAACACTACATAAAAATGATTATATTAAATTATATTATATTATCCAACAGCAGTGACGTTTTATATTACATTTTAGACTGAATGATAGAAACCGGTGTTTGAAATTAACATGATTTGTGAAAATCAGCATTTTTGTAACTAGGTTTGTAACTGACTAGCCTCAGGCATCACTATATAAATAATTTCTAGCATGTAATATCTGCAATATCTGCTTCTGATGGCCGGGTCAAGACACATTTGGAGATGAAACAGTATATCTGAATCCTAAAGTGTAAATCTGATTGTGTGTTTCTAGGAGGCGTACTCTGTAGCGAGGCAGTTTAACCTGATTCCTCCAGTGTGTGAGCAGGCGGAGTATCATCTCTTCCAGAGGGAGAAGGTCGAGGTTCAGTTGCCGGAGCTCTACCATAAGATAGGCAGGTGTCAATCAATCATCATTTACTCACTGAATCCTGACTGTCACGCAGCAGCGGCTCATCTTGTGTGTGACTGTAGGTGTGGGCGCCATGACATGGTCTCCGTTAGCCTGTGGGATCATCACTGGAAAGTATGAAAATGGTATCCCAGAATCCTCTAGGGCATCTATGAAGGTACTAATTTATATACAATGAGAAATCAAGTGTGTATTTTGTGCCGTGCTTCTTCCTTACCCGACTTGTTGTTTTGTCTAGTCGTACCAGTGGCTGAAAGACAAGATCGTGAGTGAGGAAGGACGAAAGCAGCAGGCGAAGCTGAAGGAACTCACTCATATTGCTGAGAAGCTTGGCTGTACTCTGCCTCAGCTGGCCGTAGGTAAGACCGCAACACTTCAAACACAACTTCGTATTATTGTCCACAAACTGTACTGAAGCCTTTTGCTGTTCTCCAGCCTGGTGTCTGCGGAACGAGGGAGTGAGTTCAGTCCTGTTAGGAACCTCGAATGCAGAGCAGTTAACTGAAAACCTGGGAGCCATTCAGGTGAGATCCAGGCCCTGTTTACACCTGGGCCCGGTTTTTCAAAAGCAATCCACTTAACGGATTGGATCAAATCTTGAAAATGGCTTTTTCAAAAGAAAAAACGGATCACGTAATCCAATCTTGGTTTTGATCCGGATCAAACCTTTAGTTTGGGATTTTCAGAACTTTTTTTGTAGGATTTGGATCACTTTGATCCAAAAAATCTGGATTAAACTGATCCCATCAGAAGGGTGGATTCGGCGTGGATTTCATGCCTAAAATGTAATGAAAACTTTAAAAATGTATCAATTTGGATCATGCAGGATCTTACCAGATGTCCTATTTATTCATACGTTTTTATTTCATTTGTTCATCCATCAGGCTACAGTGATTTTATCGTATTCAGCCTTTCCGTATAGACGAATCCGACGAGCGTTCTGTGTAGGCTGCCATCTTGTGGCGACGCCATTACTGAGCTGTTACACAGGCATATAGACATGCACCGGTATCGGTATGTAAACAAACCTCGGTGATAACGCGAAAGCACCCTCGATGACAGCTACAGCCAGGCAGAATGACTTGTTGGTTTGATCTGTGACTGCAGTGGCCTCCAGTCACAGATGAAGGTACAAACGATCTTACAGATTAACGTTATTTATGAAAATAGCTTGGCAAGCTAGCTAGGCTAACGTTTGCTAACGAGGAAACTATAAAAAGATCTGTCCATTTGGCAACAATAAATAAATAAATGAATGAAATCAAATAAACAAATTCATGTTTTTCATTTGTGTCCATTATTTATCTCATTTTCACATTGCAACAGGCAAGGGTAAGGTAACGTTACAGCTAGAAAGTATACATAATATCGACCAATTAGTGTTTTTGAACCATGGAAAGAGGTCAATATAACAGCAGGAAAACAATTATGTCACATAACGTTACATTTAGCTCAGGAAAGCCATTTAATGACCATAGCATGTTAATTGAATCGAAAAAATAGCAAGAGAGGAGATTTTGCTGATCACTATATCACATATTTATTATATATTTTTTACTTATGTCATTAAATAATTGTTATTATACGCGAATGTCCGCGTCTTGTACTCGCCCAGGAAATCTGTGTAAACCGTACGGCACCAGACAGGGGCAGTCGACCCGGGGTATTCACAGTGTTTTCTCTTCATTTTACTGCCACCATTGAAACAATTTATAACGGAAACTATTTACCCACTCGACATTATACAAGGGCTAACGTTGTAACGTTAGTGACAGTCGTAAATCGCGGGCTGTTTATTCCAGTGGACGCAAGTTGCAACTAAAACAATAGGAGGCAATGGCGCAACGCTACCCAGCAACAGCTCAGTAATGGCGCCCGCTTACTTCCGGTAGTTTCGCCGGATTCGTCTATAGGAAAATACCTGGACCTGTTTTTTCAAAAGGTTTAATCCGGATGAAATTGATCCGGATTTAGTAATCCTTTTTTTTTTTTTTTTTTTGGCGATCTGTGATCACGTTTTTCAAAGCAACATCGGATTGGATCAATCTGATCCGGATAGGAACCGGATTTTGGTTATCGGATTGGATCAAATCTTGAAAATGGGTTGTTCAAAAGGGAAAGAAGGAATCTGAAATCAGATTAGATCAAGGAATCCAATCCTAGTTTTAATCTGGATCAAACCTTCAGTTTGTGTTGTTCAAAACTAGTCAGTGGGATTTGGATAACTTTGATCAAAAAAAACAAAACAGGATTATCCTGATGCCTCAAGGTGGATTTCAGGAAGAAAATGTAGTAAAACTTTAAAATTGGTCAAATAATACCTGTATTTAGTGTCATCCACTTGTGATCTGATCAAATACCACGTGTAAACAGCCTTATTGACTTCCTACACATCTATTCATTTCCAGACGATTATTAACTCATTTATTTGCACATTCAGGTACTTCCAAAGATGACATCCCATATAGTCTCAGACATTGATCATATACTTGGGAACAGGCCATACAGTAAGAAGGACTACCGGTCCTAGTGGGTCCGGACACACACTCATGGTGAAGAGAGGTGTGTGTGTGTAGCAGTGTTCGTGCCCTAGTGGTTCCTGCTCCAAATCTGTTTCCATCATCGGTCTGACCTCTCTCTCTGAAGCCTTAGAGTGCCGTCCTCCATAAGCTGTACCCCGTTTCTGCTGGTGCGCCTTTACACCCCAACACCACAGCGAGAATCCCACAACTGGTGTCAGGAGAGACCTTACATAAACACCCATGACCCACGCTCTCAAACCCATCAGCCACTGGGACGCTGCAGGTATTAACACACAGTGGAGGAACGGCGCATGTCGCCCTCTTGTGTTCGAGTACAGCAACTGCAAACCGGACTCGGTGGAACAATGTGCATTCGTATAGATTGGAGCCTGTGCAAGAACACCTGTATGATATATTATGAGTGATATTTGAATGCGTGTTTGCTTCATTATGTGAGCCATATGTACGTGTGGTGGAAAAATAACTCAATGCACACCTCGGACCTTGGAAATTACTTGAATGAGGGTAGCATATGTGATTATTGAACATGCAACCGACCTCAGTCCACACTGCAGTATAATATACAGTGTTAAAGTTGATCCGACATGCATAGAGTATATTATTATACCAGCATCCTAATGCATTCATGGTAATGTCTGATTATAAACGAGTGACTTGATTTTTCTTTAGTAACAGTAAGGAAGTAAAGAAGTGTGCTTAGTTGTATTAAATGTGCACTTCAAATCTTAATTTCAATGCATTTTACTTTTAAAGGACACTTTCAGTTTCTTAACACTTAATTTGACTTTTTTTTAAAAGGTTTTATATTTTACATCAGTGGTTTTTGATCATCTTTTGTCATTTAAAGTAGTATTGATGTGTTGACTAACATACCAGAGCATATCTAAAGTGCGTGCTTATAATTATTATATTTAAAGCTACTATATTTTAAATTAAAAATTTGAAGTTCGTTTACAAATTATTAATATTAAATTCATGACACAAGTTAACAGATTTTTTAAGTATCTTTAAGTTTATCACAAATGCTTATTAAATTCAGCAGCACACTTTACCTATATTTCAAAGACCGTATAATATAAAAGATTTTGTAATTAAGTCCTACTTAAGTGGGTCAAAATATACACTAAAGTTCAGAGATATGCATTTATTTAATACATTTTCACTGAATTAAAATGCAATTAACATTTAAGTATATTATTACCATGAAAATGTATTAAATCTACTTAAGTGGGTCAGAATACACTCTAAAGTTCAGCTATGTATTTAATACATTTTCATTGAATTAAAATGCAATTAACATTTAAGTATATTATTACCATGAAAATGTATTAAATGCATATAGCTGAACTTCAGAGTGTATTTTGACCCACTTAAGTAGGACATAATTACAAAATCTTTTTATCTTGTCTTTGAAATATACTGCAAAATTTAAAATGATAAAGATACTTAAAAAAATCAGTTGAAACTTGCGTCATGAATTTAATATTAGTGTTTAAGTGTAATAATTATATGCTTTGGTATGTTAGTCAACACATCAAAATAAGTGTAATTCTTTAAAGCATGACAAAAGAGTATCAAAACTTACTTTAAATTAAAACCTTTTAAAAAGCCCAATTAAATGTTAAGCAACTGAAAGTGTCCTTTAATTTAATTTTAATTAGTATTTTTTTACTTTTAAGATTTGAAGTACATAATTAAAATGCAATTAAGATTTAAGTATATTATTTCCACAAGTACTATCTTTTTTTTTTCTTTTTTTTAAAGTATGCCTATTCTTTTTTACAAGGGTTAGTTCACCCAAAATGTCATTATTTACTCACCCTCACTTTATTCCTGATTTTGGACCCCATTGACTTTCATTGTAAGGAAAAAAAAGTAAGATGTTTAAAAGGAAAAAACACCTCCTCATAGGTTTGAATCATCACAAGGGTCGGTGAATAATGACAGTATCAATGAGCTCCTGATCTGCATGTCAGCATTATGATATAACAGAGGTGGATTTGATTGACAGTTTGCGGGTGCCTAATGTTTGACTTTATTGCTTGCCCTACTTGAAAGCCATACTTTATCACGCTCCAGATATTTTAAAGACTGACAAGCTGCTTTACCCCGTAGTATTTAACTTCTCAGAGCTTTTAGATTCATTTGAAACCTGATGGATGCTGGCTTGAGAAAACCATCAAAAACAGTGTATAGTGTTCCCTTTAGTCTCCCTGCGGAGTGCCTTGATTCTCACCTGCATGAACATTAGGGCTTGCCCATTCTCCCATGGGTCCACGAGTGGAATACTGTGAGCTTTTCTCAATTGTAAATGACGTATTTTATCAAAACAAAGAAATCACACCGCGGTGGTGGCTATTGTTTTCTAAAGTTTGTAACGTGGAGTTGTTGGATACACAGGCTGTTCTGAATCTCTGCATCAGGGTGTTTGCTCATATCATGCGTGTCTCTCCCTGTACGGCAGCAGTGACTTCTGTAAATATAAATATGTAAACAGTCGATAGAGGTAGAATATATGCTTGAAATAAAAACATATAAGGCCAGTAAACCCATGTGTGTGTCATATTGCACTCCCCTATTCCTCACAGTAAAATGAGACAAGATATACGAGTAAACAGTCTTTTATTGGTACAAAACGAAAACGAGAGACCAGACAAGCCTTAACTGATCATGAATTTCATGAAGCTTTTACATATTAAATGATAAACGCCCTCCCGAAATATAACAAACCTCCTTTAACACGTCGCCCTCCCCCCATAATCCTCATTTTACGTGTTGTCCTGTTTTATTTGGAGCCGGTGGACAGCAGGGCGATCAGACCCGAAGAAGCACTGATGGACAGAATGTAGTTCCTGTGACAAACACATCAGGCAAACGTCAACTTCTGAACCAATCAGCAGGCTTTAAAAGACTAAACGCAAAAGTGCTTACACTGTTGGATTGAAGTTCTTCAGCAGGAAGAAAGAGGCGATGATGACGAGCATGAGGAAGAGCGTGTTGTTGTAAAAGATGGAGAAAGTCGTGGCCTCGTAATCGGCGACCTCGTTCTTTTTCCAAAGGATCCTGCGGGAAAGTCTCAGTGTTAGGAACGAAGCACTTTTAAACAGGAGGCAAGTCCTGTGCCTTATTTAAGAAAGCAGAAAGGGTTCATTTCATTTCTGTCTTCAATATTAGCCAGTGTTGTTCATGGTTATTAAGTTAAAAAGATCACGATTTTGATTCAAACACACGCGACTCGCCGATTCACATCGGAACTGTGTTTGCGATGCGGCTGAGCATTCATTCACAGGACTGGTCATTGAATCGTTCACTCAAGTGTTTCGTTCAAAAACGCCGATTCATCCAGTAATGAAACAAGTTAGTCGTTGAATTATTCATTTAATCCGATTTTTAAAAATAACTCTGTCGCATTAATTGACAATTTTGTCAGAACTTCTTAAAAATGACATATTTTGTTAAGTTGTCTGTTCAGAATCATTTTAAACCAAACAAAAAGTAGTATTTGTTTTTGATAAATTAAAAAAATGAACCTAAATGTTGCCTTGGCACTTAATGTTCTGTGATGCACGTTCGTGACTCTCCTGTTTCAACTCGTTCATCAAAATGAACAAATCTTTTTTTTTGAGTCATTTGGTTCATTCAACGAATTTGGTTCATTCAAATTGACTCGGAAAAAGATTTGTTCATTTTGATAATGAGTTCGAACAGGAGAATCACACAGAACAGAGCAAGGCGAGCATTTGTGCTTATAAAACTTAAACTTTGTTATTTATTTATTAAATGAGCGATCGTTTCGCATGATTCATCATCTGGAATCGTTTAAAGCCCTTTGAACAGATTGCAGTTTGCACTGAAAGTGTCTTTTGGACCTTGAACCATTTGGTTCCCATTAAGGTCCATTATATGGAGAAAAATCCTGGAATGTTTTCATCAAAAACCTTAATTTCTTTTCGACTGAAGAAAGAAAGACGTGAACATCTTGGATGACATGGGGGTGAGTAAATTATCAGCCAAAGTTTTTTTTAAAAGTGAACTACTCAATGTAAGCACTAAAATAAAACTATAGAAATATAAAAGCAGATACAAATCAGATAAAAGCAAATAGTGTAATATAAAAATAATAATGATAAAAGGAGACAAGCCAATGAAAATGTCCCAATTAAGATAATACCTCTCGTCCTTCTCTTTGCGGGACATTTTGCGGTTGTCGGCCTCGGAGAGCTTGCGAGTCACTTCTTTAGACACGGCATCTTCACGCTTCTGAGCAACCCTAAAGGTATAGCGGTAGATCGATTCAGTCCAATGAACTGATTCAGTTTACAAAACCCAAGAGATAGAGAGAGAAAAGAGATGGGCATTCTTACTTGTGCTTGAGGACGAATTTGACATTCTTGTAAGCGAAAGCCACCAGGTAAGTGCTGACTAGAGTCATGACTGCATACAGTACTGCAGACTGGACCAGGTCCATGTGCCAGATCCTCCAGAACAGCCCTGGCACAACATCACACACATGCAGGAGTTATGAATGCATCACAATAACAGTCGTCATCATTCATCAGTGAACATTTAGTCCGGGATATAGGATCACACAACAGCTATATGTGGGAATCTATAGCACACTAGTGTCTAGGTGAAGAGCTCAATGTTTAGACTCAACCATTATTTACTCATTTATCCAAAAGCGACTTACAAATGAGGAGAGCGATAGAAGCAGTGGAACAAACAATATAACGCAGTAAAGTTACGCAGTTTAACTTTTTTTTGATTGATAGATAGATAGATAGATAGATAGATAGATAGATAGATAGATAGATAGATAGATAGATAGATAGATAGATAGATAGATAGATAGATAGATAGATAGATAGATAGATAGATAGATAGATAGATGCAGGAACAGATGTGGACACACGGATGAGGAACTTACAGATAGGGATTGCGGACACGATTAGCGCATTGCCGTAGAATAGCGCTGTGGATTTGGCCGACAGGTTCCTGCTGAAGTCCTGCAGGAGAAGATCCTCCTCTGACTGCTGTTTGCTGGCGCTTTTAGGAGCCATGTCTCCGGTAAGTCCACTGCTTGGATCCTAGGCTTGGTTGAAAAGAGACAGACACGTATGTGATCCGAACGGATGAAGCGCTTACGCCGCGTCAGCACAAACAGTGACGTAGAAATAATGCGCCCAGAGCTCAAGGAGACTCGCGCTGAGATGCTGCCTGCTAGTGTCCGGGAGGGGCTCGCGCATTTAAATGGACAGTTCGCTAAAAGATGTTTTTTTTAATTATATTAATATAATATTAAATGCTCAAAAAACAAAAATTGTCATTGTCATGGCCAGATTAACGTCCTTCAGTCTAAGAAAATTAAATATCTGGCATTGTTTACCAAGTGTGCCGCACAAGTCAAGTGAAGACAAAACGTTTCGTTCGCCGATTCGCCCCCAGGTTAGATTGTTAACCCGCTCTCTCCATGTAATCGAATGGGATTTGAGACAAACTAAACAATCAAATTATTTACACTTCAATTTTTTTTCCTTCCAAAGATGGTTTCTGACGTTTTAGGTAGTTATCACACATGGATATAATACTGATACACATACATGATGATGATGATACACAGCCAGGGCAACTTTTTGAGCAATGTTGCCGTCAACAGGCTGGATGAGACAGGCCCGACCAAAAATGTTGCCCATTTTCAGTGGGAAAGTGCCCAAGTAACAATCACTCAGCAAGACTGCCCAGCAACATTACTGGTGAGTATCATCATCTAACGTTAGGCCTACTGTTGTTGTTTGGTTTTAGGAGTGTGACGTCATGACCGTTTCTTTGAACGAAGTAGATCGAGGCACAGGCACCAACGGACTTTTTTTCGGAAGGAGATTGGAGCTTTAACTTTAATTTCTACATTTACATAATTTCACACATAACGAGTTTTTCTGCAGTAAACTTTAGTATTCTAACCGACTCAGGCCCGAGTCTGCTTATCAGCGCCATATTTGGGCCATTGGTGGCTTTTAAACAGTGGAAGAGAGCAAGGTAGCGTCGTCCATCTTTTTTAGTCTCAGTCATTTACTCACCGACTATCATGCTGTTTCAAAAATGTATATTTGAAATGTTGGAGATGTTATTATCCTAGACGTGTCTGTGTTTTCTGAAAATATTTCCACCGCTAGATGGAGACAAATAGCCTATTAACATTTATGGAAAAAAAATGAAAGAAAGTTTGGCTATAACAGTTATGCTATGTACTTCCTTTGCTATCTATCTATCTATCTATCTATCTATCTATCTATCTATCTATCTATCTATCTATCTATCTATCTATCTATCTATCTATCTATCTATCTATCTATCTATCTATCTATCTATCTATCTATCTATCTATCTATCTATCTATCTATCTATCTATCTATCTATCTATCTATCTATCTATCTATCTATCTATCTATCTATCTATCTATCTATCTATCTATCTATCTATCTATCTATCTATCTATCTATCTTCATTTTTGTTGTGAAAGGGCCTATGTATTTGCAAGAAATATGACTTTTTTTGTTTGTTATTAAAAAACAAACAAGCAAGCCCAGCCCAGGTGAGGAAAAGTAATGTAACATTACTTTCCATAAAGGTATTGCAATTATTTTTGGGGGGGAGTAACGCAATATTGTAACTTTCCCCGACCATCATTAAATGTTTGAGAAAAGCAGATTGCTGACATTATAACTCTCATCTGAAGTACAGTTTGGGACAGACAGTTTTAATGGACATTGAACAAAGGAGTTGGTGAAATTATACTTTTCTACCACCACGCCACTTTTGATCCTCATTACCTCATTTACCCTTTTTTTCTGACAACTTTAAGCTTGGTGTGGAAAGCAGAAGCACAGAAGAGGATGAGACAGGTCAGACCGGAGAGAAAGAAACGAGAATGAAAGAACTACCTGGCAGTCATTGCACAATGCTTGAAGATCATAAAGGAAAGCAGAAAAAAGCACTAGAGCAAAGTTCAGGTAAACGCGTCCTGGGTTTCCCCGGTCAATAAAGGGCAGTTATGGCATGGGTGTAGTGTCGACCTTAGGGTTTGTTTCTTTATTTAACATCAGAATGACTGACAGCCCAGTCATGGCAGCTGGTTTGATAACATTTGCACCTCTTTCTTGAAAATGGGTGGATCTGTTCAACGGCAGCCAGAAATGTGACGGTGCTTTGATCTGAAAGATCACGACTTTACAAGCTTCATATGATGACAATGTTGTGTGTTTTGTCTTGCTTGTTGATCCTCTTGCCCTTTTTAGATCTGGGGCGTGTGTTTTTTGACTATTTCAAAATCAAGTCACCTTTATTTATATAGAGCTTTATACAATACAGATTGCTTCAGAGCAGCTGTACAGGAATAAACAGTGCAATAATAATGATTCAGTGGTGCAAACAAAGTTCAATCTCTAAAAAGACGATAGTAAACAGTCATTATTCAGGGGAAATCAGTCAATGTGTAAAGATCTTTAATCATGAAATGAGTTAATTCATCAATAAATCAGCTCAGTTCATCCAATAGTGTCAGTCAAATCAACAACGTTGCTGAATAAAGATATTTTAAAGAATGTTTCAGTTTTGAGGGGACTGTTGACTTCCATAATATAAATGGTGCCCCAAAAGTGAAACATTTTTCAAAATATCTTCCTTTGTGTTTAGCAAAACAAACACTTTTTTTACAGGTTTGGAAGAAATGTTCATTTTTGTGTGAACTATCCCTTTAACACATTTTAATTTCGCTTCTAGATGAAATATGACAAGGAAGGACTTCATTATCCCTCCTTGCCAAACATGTGTTTATACTCTGAGATATGATATCTGAGAATAGTGCCATTCTGTGTCTGTTTGCCTATGACAGAAGGCTATTGGTTCAAGTGAGGTAATCGGTTTCCTCAATTCAAATCAGTGTGTTTTGCAATACATCCAATACATTATTAAACAAGATTGTTTAATAAGTTGCTAGTGACTGTTTTATCAAGGTGGTTCGGCTGTATTATCATCAAATCGCACACCCATTCTCAAGAAACGGCACATTTTTCAGTGAGTTAATACGTTTAATATTTTGCTAAGTTTACTTAGTGGGGTTTGTCTCATTATGGACATTAGTAACAGATGCTCGCCTTATAAACACTACTGATAAGCGATTATATTAGCCAATGTGTCCTGCAATGGAAGTCTATATAAGAGTCTGAAAAGGCTTTTTTGTTTTGGTCATAATGCTGTTGAAAAGCACAGAGCACATGTTTATCCTGAGGCCAAAGGCTCGAGGGTCACAGCGCCCTGCCAAGGCCGCTTGCAAAAGCAAACAACCAAAAGAGAGGGAAAGAAAAACTCAAGACGTTGACATTTTGGCAAGAGAGGAAAGCTCGTTCGTCCATCTGCATCTGAAAGGTCACTGCGTTTTGTGTAGCGCCAACCCTGCGTGTGAAGAACACGGGAGATGGGAAAACACACTTGGTGTGACCACTCAAAAAAGCAAAAACAACACAGCAGGAACTCCAACAAAAGCGGACGTGGAGGGTTAAATCCTAATAAAACAACTTCTTGGACTTTAAAATTGACCTTTTCATCTAAGAATAGACTGAAAAAGAGACAGAATGAGGAGGAAATAAGTTAGCTTGACATTCTGGCCTTCAAAGTCGGTGTGCCCAGAATGACTTCACCGTTTGTGCATCTTTGAAGACACAAGAGGAAAGAACAACCCATGGTTGTGCGAGAGCTCAATACGCTGAACAAACACATATTGTGCAAAAGCAGATGCATTTCTCATACAGATTTCTTGTGACTTCATTTGGCAAGAGACCGGTTTGGAGAGGTAAACATGACATAAATCAATATTGAGTTTGAGTGAACAAGGGTTTGGTGAACATATACACATGAAAGAGAGAGAGACTGAAGGCTATGTGAACCCGGGAATGTGAGAAGAGTCCCAATGATTTTTTTTATTTATTTATTTTTATTTTTTTCTGTTTCTCTGAACTGAGGAGTTGAAGTATTTTTTATTTTATTTTTTTTTATTGCAACATAGAATATACAAAGAGATTTACATGACAATACAGCTCACAACAAATAGAAAATAAAGGAGAAAAAAAAGGAGAAAAAATCATGCCAGGGGTAAAGTTACAATAATTTAAAGTTACAAAATACTTCATAGGTCTTTCTTGCTTTTTTGTTCTTAATTTTATCTAATCAATTACGTCCCAATGATTTTTTCATAGAGGGTTTTCACGACGCGACACGTCATCAATCCGGAAGTCGGCCATTTTGGAGGCACAGAACGTAGACGATGCCATTTAATTGAAATTGAACGGACTCGCAAATTTGGCTGATTATTTCTGCTGAAAAATGGTCGAGTTTTGGTCTATACTAATCGGTCGCATCGGGAAAATACCTTTTGAGTTGTAGACTGCCACAAGTTAAGTTGACAGACACAGCATCAGCTCATCAGCCACATGTGTAAATGAAGCTTTGACTATGGCTAAACGTATTAACAATGGCTACATTCACACTTTCAGTCCAAACCAGATTATCTTTGTATCCGATGTTTACATTTTATGTGGCGTGTAAGAGTCGCACACCACCCAAAATCCGATCGTTCAGACTGAGGCACATGTCCTGGTATTTGAATAGGATTTCAAACCACATATGGATGTAGCTTGAAACGGATTTCATGTGCTTTTTGGACTGACAATCTGAGCATAGCCTATGTCGGGATAAGAAATAGAAGGAAGAACTGCAGTAACGTTACGGGCTAGAGAAGCTATTTCGTTCGGACCTTTGCCACAGTTTGTCCAAATATTGTGCTCTCTCCTGCTTGGTAAGTCCTTCTCTATATGATTTCGCCCCTACCACGGGGTTTTCTGTGTTTTTTTAGTGTAACAATGTGTTCAGTAGTACATAAACAGTGCAATCCATGCTGTTGTTTACATTACAGTGCCTCCATAATGACCGCTCATCCGGGTTACCGCCCTGAATGTGACGTCGGTGAAAACCCTCTATTGACTTGTTTCGATTATTTAAAAAAAAAAAACACGTCTATGGATAACAAAAGTTTATGGGTTATAATCATAATAATCGCCACAAATGAACACAACTTGTATGAATTAGGAAGCGTAAATACAATCAACAGTCTCTTTCAGTCTGTCAATCTTCTAATTTAGTCTAACGTT